AAGAGCGGTGTCATTTAAGAGAGAACGGTTGATTAGGATGCTTAGAGTGACCTGGTTCTCCAGCAGTTCCCCAGGAAGGCTACTGTGGCAAATAGACTCCTGCAAAAAGAACCCTCCTGATAAGCATTTCTGAACAGCAGTTTCGTTCATTTACCTTTCTCTTGTCTCCTAAGGTTCAGATGAATTTGTCCATCCTTTGTATTAATTTCTGTGCTATCAAGGCCCGTTCTGTATTTTCAGAGACTATGAAATGTAATCTAGTCCACTAGATTCTCCTGATGTGTACCTTAATTCCTAGGGGTGAGTAGGCACATTACAAGTAACTATTATCTACACTAGTGGAAGAGAGGTATGACCTAGATATTCAAAGTGGGGGAATTAGCTCCAATTTCCATGTATTTACTTTTTGAAAATATATGGAAAGTGATAATTCAGGGAAGGACCTTGTCTTCAAGGCGTTTTTAGTCATGTGGGAAAATTAAGACATGCACAGTAAGACCAAAAAAAGTCCTTAGTAACATAAGAGATATGTGGGTAACGTGCTATGGGAACTCAAGGAATGAAAGAACCATGGCTATACACACATGTGGTGATATTTTCAAAAGCATTACATAAGCAGAAAGTACCATTTCTCTCTTCCTCTCTCTCTCACGTGCGTGCGCACGCACACACACACAGACATTGAATATATTACTTCTCACCTATGGATAAATTATAGAACAGGTAGATACCCTTTTCCTTTTTGATAGATGGATTTAATGAGTACCCAAAAAAAGGAATTGCATTTTCTTAATTTGTTGGATTACATCTAGGCAGTTAATTTAGCCAATTTAACATATGTCAAGATACAGAGAAGGCCAAAAACAGCCATATTAGGAGTGCAACAGGAGAAGACCTGAGGATATGGCCTTCTGTACCTCATTCCTCTGTTAGAAATCTATCTGCAAAAGTCTGGCACAACCATTACCTTCTTTGGAATTACTATTGGCGGGGGTAGGGCAGGGAAAAGATACAAAGAAATAAACCCTGATTTGCCATAATACATATACTTAATCCCGTATGTCAGTGAGCAGTCTAGCACCTCCAGCATCTGAGAATACAACAAAGTGCACACCCTTGCCCCCTCTCTCGTGCTTTAATATGAATGCAAAAATATTCCTCATGTTCAATTAACAAAGTTCTTAGTTATCCTAAAGGGTAAAACACTTAAGGTGGGAGAACCCATAGGCCTCTTTTCTGAAAAAGGTAAAAGTTCTATATGGCGTCAACATTTTAAACTCTTCAGTTATTCAGAAATGCTCAAATATAGGATTGGTGAATGTTCTGGAAACTAAAATATGATACCAATGAAATAACGTGAGGGTATATGAGAAACTTTGTGTTACTGTGTATTTCACTTTTTTGACCCACCGCTTAGATTTTTATAAATTTTAGGATAAGGAAAAAGAAAGTTAGACCTCACTTGAAATGAGTAAAACTAAAAGTGCAAAAACTTATATACGTTTTTGCCTTTTTGCCTTTCTGCTATTAGGAATTTAAAATCTCTCATCAATAAATAGAATTTAAGTGGAACACGAAAGCAAGTCTTTTTCCCCCAAAAGTCTAAGTATTACACATAATCCTATTTGAAATGTCAAAAGACAAAAAAGTAGGTAGGTTGAATTCTACCAAAAAAGTGTTAGGCTCTTTTCAAAGCTATTTAATCAAGTTATGAATTTTTGCCAAGAGTTTTGCAGTACTATTCAGAAAGCAGTCTCTAAAAAAGTCGTCTTGGTCCCATCTCCTGAACCATTGAATTATGGATATATTTTGATGGATGTTAAAGTATAGATGAGCTACTTAAAAACTGAAATGAGTTACAGTCACTCTTGACGATACCTTAGTGAATGAAAGACCACTGGGTAAATGCCAGTGAACGTTAAGAGTTTTCAAATTCTAATTGTCATAATCCCCCTCCCTGAGGAGTTTACAGCGTTTAGGTACAAACCACATTCACCTTTATTTGAAAAATTACTTATACTTTCTTATTGGTTTTCATAGCAAGAGAAATTGGGTGATATCTGCTTCTCCCTCCGCTACGTACCTACCGCTGGCAAACTGACTGTTGTCATTCTTGAGGCAAAGAACCTGAAGAAGATGGACGTAGGTGGCTTGTCTGGTGAGTCTGATGTTTACTGTGTTTTTTGATGCTGTTTCATCGTGGATACCGAATGCACAGCACACGTGCCGCGATGCCCCACTCCTTAATTGGTCACAGTTCTCTTTCCCGTGGAACCTGGAAGCAGTTTCAGAATTCATCCCAACACAGAGACCCAGGAAGCCACTCTCAATTTATTCGAATTAGCAGAGAAGATGAGACCTATTTTCCCGCTTCACAGCCCAGGTATCAATTGGCAATCCTATAGCTCTGAAAGATGAAAGACTGCTTCTCTTTTGAAAGGCAACACCTATGACCAATTATAATTTTGTTCCGTTTTCTTGGTTTTGTTTTTTGGTCAAAATTCATTTATGATATGAAAAATACTGTTTTATCTGAGACTCATTAGGTTAATACTTAATTTATATAATAAAAGACAAATATTAGGTAAGTATATAGCCTAAGATAGTTTTTAGCAATACTGGTTTGTGTGAACATGCAGCATTTCAAAGGTATGTGAACAATAAAATCTGAGGGTGAATCCTCATGGTAATGCATTTATTCTCTACAGCTTGTGTTGGGGGTGGGGAAATTTTGGGATTTAAAGTTCTGTCAAACCCAATTTTCGTTTTAAAAAAAGTGAGTATATTCTTTTCTTTTTTTTTTTCAGTATTTTTTTAACACCTTTATTGGAGTATAATTGCTTTACAATGGTGTGTTAGTTTCTGCTGTATAACAAAGTGAATCAGCTATACATATACATATATCCCCATATCTCTTCCCTCTTGCATCTCCCTCCCACCCTCCCTATCCCACCCCTCTAGGTGGTCACAAAGCACCGAGCTGGTCTCCCTGTGCCATGCGGCTGCTTCCCACTAGCTATCTATTTTACATTTGGTAGTGCATATATGTCCATGCCACTCACTTCGTCCCAGCTTCCCCTTCCCCCTCCCCGTGTCCTCAAGTCCATTATACTTGCTCAAAAGCAAAGTCAACTGAAGGACTTGTCATTTCCACAACGGAACACAATTGTTTTTATTTTCTTCTCTGTGCGATTAAATCAGTTATATTCTTGATCTTCTAGTAACTCATTAAAGTGTGAGGAATTTTCTTGATATGGCACAGGGTCAAAAATAGACTATAGTTGTCATTGTTCATGGCTATGGAATTAGATCCAACATTACTGGTTATTCAGTGCTTTCTCTAATAAAAATATTGCAAACTTCAAAAGGTCACCCTCATGCAGCATGGTGATTTTATATTATAAAGTATAACAGCTAAAATATTCTAAAGCTAAGGTTTCACTTACTGAACCACTAATTTGTCAACCAAATTCTCCTGGTGCCTAAATTTACTTCTCTTTATAAATATATTGCCTGGGGAATCTGCACGACTTCTTTCATGTCACTAAGACCCCATTTAAAAACTTGCTGCTTTCATTGCCTAATGGCATTAACAGAGCAAGTTTAAAGCAATAAGCAGTTTCTTTCAAAAATGTAGAGTATTTACTGTGCCTAAGATGCAAAATATATGCATACACATATGTATGTATCTATACACATCCACCTTTTCCTGGCTCTGTCCAGTAAAAAGGCCTAGAAACAAACACTGACCTAGTAGCCATGACCACCCCAGAACCAGAAATGGCGTGAAAATACCATTTCTCACTAGAAGAACCTGGAGCTTATTGGAGAAATGGTAGATTCCAGGTGTGGCAAAGGAAGGTATACAAGACAAGCCTAGAACATCTCATCATACCAGAAAGCAAGGTAACTATCAAAGACTAAGGGAGTCATGTCAACAGGCTTAAGAGTCACCTTGAAGAGGCTTCCACTGGCCAAAGATGTGATCATTTGAACATCAGTAATGATAATAAATGCAATGTATTTAAACCTAAAAGAGTATTTAATGTGCAGAGAAATTTTTAGGCACGAGAACAGTTTACCCCCAGAATTCTACTTACTACCTTGAAGTCTGACTTCAGATGCCTTTGACCTTTCCGCTTCCTTTGGTTCGATAGCCAACTATCATCCTCTAGTTCTCTGCATCCTCTCTCCCACACTCCTTTCCAAACTCCTATGCCAACCACCTCCTCATCACCTCTATCTAGTGCTCTCCTGGTCTTCCTCCCCATTCACCTTAACACCCTTCATCAGAGTTCCAGAAGCAACTCTACCATGAAGCCAGTAACTTCAGGGTCCCTTATTTGTTCTGTCTTCTCCCAAAGTCCTAGAAAGGAGTCCCCATGGTCACAGATAGATATTTCACCCACAATCTGTTAATCACAGTTTGTGCCTCTTGACACTCTCACGCCTCTTCCATCATCCATCTCTCTTGTTGTTCAGCAGCATCAGAGATGCTACAGGCATTTTTGAGGTTTAGCTATGGGAAGTTGGGTCTAGCAGGACATTATTATGTGGCTTGCAGTCATAACCATGTGTAGTTGGGTAACTGCTATCTATCCCAGTGAAGGAAGGGCTCCTGGCTTGACTCCTACTACCCGTTGGGCTAACTCAACACTGTGACATGGAAGGGGCAAGGCCAGAGGTCATATCTAATTCAGTCTTCGTAACTCTGTAAAAAAGAAAAAAATATATTCTTTTTTCAAATGCCAGACTACATTTGCTGAAAACAGCTAGTTAACTGGAACCAAAGTGGGCTGTTTTGCCAGGGTTTACAATTATAGTAGCTTCACGACCCACCCAACCCAGTTCCACCCCTAAAGTTGAATTACCTGGAATGATTTGGTCGAACAGTTAAATATTAAATTAAGGATATTTAGCCTTGAAATATCCTTAAAGAGTCCTAATCATATGGGCTTCCTGCTGCCTGTAAAATTAAGTCATAATCACTCGGGTCGACGTAATATAGATACTTCCAGACTACGCCCCACCATATTTCTATATTTGAACCAAGTTGACCAGCACACTGGTCCCCGGAACAGGCAATGGGATTTGCTGCCTCCACTGTTTGCTTAAGTTGTTTCCATCACCTGGAATCTCTTCCATCCACCAAGGTCTAGCTAAACCCTGTCCATTCTTCAGGCCCAGCTGAAGTCTTATTTCCTCCATCTGTTGAACAACTATGTATTGTGTCCCTACTTTATGTTAGGCATTGTTCTGAAACCAGGTTTACATCAGTGGACAAAACAGCCAAAGGACCCTGCCCTCATACAGATTACATTGTATTGTGGGGAAACAGATAGGAAGCCAGTAAATAAGAAAAGCACATCGTACACCAAAAGGTGGTAAGTGCTATGAAGAAAGCAAAGCAGGGAAGTAGAATAAGGAATGTTGGGGAGAAGCTTTAAATGGGGTGGCTGGAGAAAGACCCGTGAGTAGGCAACCTTTTGGCAACAACCTGGAAGAGGTAAAGAAGTGAGCCATAGGGGTGCCTGGGACAGACAGCATTTTATGTGGAGGGATTCCATGAAGCCTTTTTTGATCCATCCTAAAATAACAAATTTTTTCCTTTTTTAAATGCCAGTAGTTTGTTTACACCCTTCAAACATCACGCTTCTCTCACTAGACTGTGCTCTATATTTATATATCCCACCATGCCCACACTGACTGGTAGCACTGAGCTGAGCTGCTGAGTGAATAATCAATTATTTACAAAGGAGCTATGGCCTGAAAAAACAAGTCTTGCATTTCAAATTTGTTTAACCTACTTACCATTGAAATAACTTTAAGCACTTGGATGGTCTGTCTCAAAGTAAGTTGACCTATGTCCAAGGAGACCAAAATTATATAATGAGGTCCTTCCAGGTAATTTGAATGCCAAACTACATTTGCTGGAAATGGCTAGTAAATTGGAACCAAAATGGGTTTTTTGCCAGTATTTAAATCCCAGTCTCCCACTGTTAGCAATCTGACATTGGACAAGTTATCTAGCTTTCTGAGCCTCAGTTGCATTATCTGTAAAGTGGGAATAATTAGAGAATCTTATTTATAAGGTTATTGTGAGAAATAAATGAAAGGACACTAAAGTGCTTACTAACTATTATTGTAATTATTTCTATCAGTAACCTTATCAAATCTTGGGCTAAATATGCAAAATGTGAAAGCAACCAATGGATAGTTTAACCAATTCCTTGATTTAGTGGGAAAAATGTTTGATGGGATTGGCTGGTCAATTCAGACAAAGAGATATCAGTAGACACCTGTATTCTAAGTCCCAATATCAAATTAAGACAATATATGGGATTAAACAAAAAATATTGAAGAAGAAATAGGAACATTTTTAAAAATAATTTCTTACTACTCCTCAACACAGTTTCTTTCTTTTCTACTGTATTAATTCAAAAAGCATGGCTCCAAGATTTTGCCTCTATCATATACCCAATATAACAAGCCATGCAAATCCCAGCTCTTACTTTACAGTGACAAATTTGATTGGACCATTCACATATCTACAGTAGACACTTGAGCTTTGATGCTTCCTGTTGTAGCGCTCAAGTATTTGAGCACCAGAGAGGGTTTCTGAATCTAGCTATTTGTATTGAAACCTTGAGTCCTGCAGGCTGCAAGGCTGTTCGTCAGGTGTAAGTATGTGCGGTGGGAAATGAGCAGCTTTTTTGCCCTGTACTTGGAAAAAACTCAAGTCTTCGGCCTAATAACCACAACTTAATATACATCTGCATTTTTGGAGTAAATCTCCCTTCAAATAAATGTTTTCGTAAAAATTGAGGTAGAGTATGAAGAGTGCGTTAGTCCATTCAGGCCGCTATAACAGAATACCATAACATGGGTGTCTCCTAAACAGAACTATCTCACAGTTCTGGAGGCTGAGACATCTAGGATTAAGGTGCCAATAGGTTCTGTGTCTGATGAGAACCTCCTTCCTGGTCCACAGATGGATGTTTTCTCTGTGTCCTCACGTGGTAGAAGGAGCAAGGGAGCTCTTTGGGGTCTCTTTTATAAGGTCACTAATCCCTTTCATGAGGGCTCGACCCTCAAGAGCTAATCGTCTCCCAAAGGTCCCACCTCCAAATACCATTGCACTGAGGACCCTGTTTCAAC